CATCCACATCCACACACATACACACACACACACACACAAACACACACACACACACACACACGAACAACCCTCCAGCGGAAAACTCGGAGAAACTCCCGCGACGTCGGTTCTAATATGCACAAGGGTCTTTCGAAATTGCACCCGCCACACGCGCCATTCCCCCCACCCCCCGCTGGGGAACTCGAGACACCCCAGCGTCGTCAATCTCCAAGCTGCAGAAACGTTTCTTGAAATCGCGCCCCAACCCCACCACCCACCCAACCACCCACGCCCACCCCCGCACCCACTTACCCGCCCACCCACCCACCCACACACACCCAAACCAACACCCACACCCAAACCCACATCAACATCCACGCCCACTCCCACACCCACACCCACACCCACACCCACACCCACATCCGCACCATCACCCACACCCACACCCACACCCACACCCACACCCACACCCACAACCACACCTACACACACATATAAACCCCCCACACACATATAAACACACACACACGCGCACACACTCACACACTGAGAATTCCAAGAAACTCGCACACTGTCAGTTTCCAATCCGCAAAGGAAATAAATCAAGTTGCGCCCGCCTCGCCCACCCCCGCCAGGAAATTCTGTATAGCCCCTCCGTCGTCAGTCTCCGGGCTGCGGAGGCGCTTGTCGAAACTACCACCCCCTCTCCCTCCGCGGCCAAACACCAACGCATATGCCATTATGTACACACACGCACCAAAACATAATGTAAACGTCGCAGCGCGGCAGAGGCGATCCGAACACGCGGTCTAGTTGGCCGGGAGCGGGCGAACTCATTGTCCGGCTGCAAGAGGGGCGAAGGAGGCGGAGGGCGGCCGCGAAGGCGGGTGACAGCGGGATGGCGCTCACTGCGCGAATATCTTCGTCAGGAGTGGTTGGTGCGGCCAGCCTGTGCTGAGGCAGCCTGGCAGGACGCGGAGCGGCATCACGGCCACGCCCAGGGGCTTAACTAGGTAGAGGCTGCAGGCGCAGAAAGCATAGACCAAGTCTATCCAGCGCAAGAGGAGGAGCGGCGAGCGAGCCCACAGAAGCGGGCGGCAGGTTTTGCTGCAAAGGCACGGCGCCAGCGGGACGCCAGAAGGCCCAAGCGACCACGGGGGCTGGGCTGGCGGCCAGCTCGCTGCAGCAACATGCTGCTAGTATGCCGTGCTGACCTGCGGCAGAGCCGCAGGTCTGCCGGCTGCAAAGCTGCCCACAGGCGCACAACACAGCTGCAATGCTGCCGAGGGCTGTTGAGCTGCAGAACACCGAAGTGGCGCAGCGCGGCGAGCAGCCGCCAGCCATCGCAAGCGGCGCCCAGGCGGCGGCATGGCGGCGGCAGGGCGGCTAGCGGCGGGAAGGGGAGGGCCGCAGGCCGGGCTGATGCACGCATCACAGCCTGGAGGGGCGGAGACGCCTGGCCGCAGGGCTGGTCAGGCGGGGGCGCCCAGCTGCCAGTGCAGCGAGGCAGAGCGAGAATACACCTGGGGGGGTGGACGCTCCAGCCAGTTTACACAGCAAGGGGAAGGAGAAGGCGGGGGAAAGGAAGGGCAGACGGAGACGGGTCTGCGCGAACGGCGGAGAGCTGGCCGGCCCAGGCGATCGCCCAGCCTACCCCAAACTCCAGCACGATCCCACCGCTCAGGTCCAGGCGATCGCCCACAGCCGCCGGACTGCTGTCGGACAGATCGTCGTGACGGCCGTCTGGCCGCCGCGGTTCCCTCCAGGTGCCGCGGTCGCAGCGACACTATCGTCGTCGGGGAACTGAGCCGGTCACGGCAAGGGTCAGGGTCGGGGGAGGCCGCTGCGCTGGTGGCCTGCCGCTCGTCGGACCCGCTAGGGGACGCGCAGACTTCCCCGCCCGCCGTCAGCTCCTGGAGAGGTTGGCGCGCTGCCCGATCTCCTGCGTGGGGGTCGCCCCTCGGGGGGCAACCCCGCGCGCTGAGAAGCATCCAGGTCTCCAGGCACGCCGCTGATCGCAGGCTGGCCCATGGGTGGGGCGACCGCCCTCGCGCGGGCAGCCACCTCACGCAGTCCGCCAGGCCCGCAGACGCCAGGCCCGCCCCCCGGAGGGGACGGCCTCGGGTCATGAGGCCCATCCAGCGCATCAGGGAAGCTGGGGATCATCGTGGATTTCCCGATATAGTCCTCGTTCCCGGGTTTGTCGGGGGGGACGGGGACGGGCCCTCCTTCCTCCTCCCTCCCTCCCTCCCTCATCCTTGCCCCCCTTTCCTGCGCCTCCACTTCCTCTTTCTGCTCCCCCCTCATCCGTCCTCATTCCTCCTCCATCCTGCCCCTGTCCATTCTCTTCATCCTCCCTCTATCCTCCCTCCACAACTACTCAACCTGAACACCCCTCTCCCGCCTCATCTGACCCTGTCCGGAAGATGTCCCGCCCTCTCCGCGAATGATGATATTACACCATGGGCTGCATGCTTAGATTATCTGTATGGTTTGTTCCAGCTGGAATGTTCTCGGTGTTTCAAGATGGAGTTCCAGCTGCAGCGTAGGCATTATTTCGGGATCGGCGCTTTGTCGCCGTCGTTCATGATGGCGCTCCCGCCACAGCGCAGCCACTTTGCTGGATCCGAGTACTTCCTCACCGTTGTCGCCTCCCTCAATTTCCCATCTTCGCTTCCCCCTTTTCTCCTGCTCTCCCCGCTCCTTCCACTCCAGCTCTTGCTGCTGCAATTTGTCCACGTCCTCCTCCTTCGTACTCTCCTAGTGTTCCTCGTGCTCATCCTACTGCTCGGCCGCCACCTCCTGCTTCAATGTTATGCAGCTTACCCTTCCCGATTGCGCATAACACGACGGGATCCTAGCTGGATTTCCAGGTCAGCTCTGACACACGTCGGTGGGAAGAGAAAGGAACAAGCACAGCGGGAAGGGATGGGCGGGAGGAGTAGGAAGCCAGCTGCGGCGCGAGCGCACCCAGCTTGATCCTCATCCTCTCTCCCTCCCCCCACGAGGATGTGCCCTCCTCCCGCCTCCCTCTTCCTATCTCCTCAATCCTCCACCCCTCCCTCCCCAAGCTTTCGGCGCGAATTCGTGGGGGGCGATCAGAGCTCCTTTAGTGGCCCTGAAGGGCCCTCTTCTGCAGCCCTCGCTGCACCCCCCAACTTATCGCCCTCCCATTACGCATCCTCTGGCAGGCTGGACGTCTGCGAGTTGCTGGGGAGGCTGCCCTGCAGGGCGCGGTTTGACGTTCCCCCCCAACCTTTGTGGGCCCCGGAAACGGCAAGGCCGTTTTTTCACCGTTTCCAAATAAATGCCCCTTGAAAATGGAAACGGCAAAAAAACGGCGACCAGAAGCGTCAAAAAACCGGTCCAGGATTGGAAGCGGAGCCGGAACCGGTAAAAAAACGGCGACGGAACCGGTAAGAAAACGGCGTCGGAACCGGCAGAAAAACTGCAAAACGGAACCGGTAAAAAAACGGCCCTGTCGTTTCCAGGGCCCACGAAGCCCCCAACCCCCCGGCCTTCTCAGAAGGCTCGGAAGCCCCGGGGGACTTCTGAGCAATTGTCTGAGCTCTCCCCGGTGGCACGGAACACTTCTCAGGTCGGAGGCCTCCTGAGGAGTTCCGCCACCCTCTGGGAAGGCCTTCTACTTCTCACTTCCCTCTCTCGCTCGCCGCCGATACTGCCCTCGTTATGGGCTCCACGTGTTTCTTCTATTCCTCGAGATCCGATGTTGCGAACACGAATGGAACATCTGGAGAAGCACGACAAGAGCCCTGGACCACATCTTTCTGCGTGATTATTCGAGTCGGATCGATTTGTGAGGGTCACGGGGCCAGAAGCCAAGCGAAAACGCACGTTGTGAAATAATACGACGCGAAGATCTCAGGGTTCCCCCCCCCTGAACCTCCTCATCCTCCTCCTCCCCCTAATCCGCTTTCTCTTCCTCCCTTGAAGTCGACCTCTCCGACCTCTTCTGGGGCGCGTTCTGACTAGGATCTCGATTGCCTGTGCCTCCAGGGGGGGGAGGCTCGAGGACGGGAGGAAGGGAGGGGGAAGGGGAGACAAGCTAGGTGTGATCGCGCCTCATCTGACATCCCTTCCCTCCCTCCCATCCATTCCCATGGCGCTGATTTTTCATGGTCCGCGGACGCGTGTCATACCCGACCTGTGACTCCCACAGAGACGCCAATACGTGGTATGCGAAATCGGAAACAGGGGAGCTGCGTGCACAGGAGAAGATGGCGGGTGAGCAGAAGGATGAGCGGGAGGAAAAGGATGAGGACGAACAGCAGCAGCAGGAACTCAAGCGGAAGGACAGGGAAGAAAAGCATGACCAGGGGAAGGCGGAAGAGGAGACATGAGGGGCGCGACAACTATGAAGGAAGACTCAGCGTCAAATAAGTGTTCCTCGATGGGGTGAGACGAAAAGCAGCAGCAGAAACTGGAGTGGAAAGATCGGGGGGAGCAAGAGGACAAGGGGAAGGCGGAGGAGGGGAAATGAGGAGGGACCACACTGAAGCGACACTGGAATCCAGAAACATGGCCGGCGCTGGGGCGAGAGCGCCATTCTGAAAGACGGAATCAAAGCGACGAGGCGAGGCCCACGCTACAGCGGGAGCACCTTTTTGAAACACCAACAATCGGATTGCGAACCAAAACTTATGAAAACCACAACTTCTGCAATCCTGGATAAAACGACAACGCGCGGACGGAGGGGGGCAGGCCGCTTATTTATTATCTTCAGGGGGGGGAGAAGAGTGTGTGTGTGTGTGCATGTGTATATATTGTAAGTGTACAAGGGAGGGGGTGGGGAAATGAGGAAGAAGGGGAATGAGCAGAAGAGCAGGGGATAGGGGCGGAGGAACAGGAGGGCAGGAGGATCATGAGGAGCGGGAGAGGCGGAGGGAGGAGGAAGGAGAGGAGAAGGCCAGCAGGAGGAAGAATACAACTAGGTGGAGCTGGGAGGAGAAAGAGGATAAGGAGAAGGAGGAAGACGATGAAGAGGAGGGGGGCAGGAAGGCAAGAAGATGACAACGAGCGCAAGAGGAGTTCCGGGAGAGGTGGAGGGGGACGAGTAGGAGAGAGGAGGGATAGCAACAGCAGCAGGAGGAGCAGGAACAGGAGAGGCAGATACGTTGACCCTCCCAGAAGGAAGACCAAGACACAACTGTCGGCTGCCGGCATAGACGTGCTCACACAGCTGCCATGGTTTTCGCCGGCGCTGTGCAAGCCCATGCTAGCAAACGTGGGCGTACTTCCGAAATGAAACCCAGGAATAGAGCAAGGCACCTAGAACGCCAAGATGATGCCACTGCACCTCATAGGACCACGGAACATCGGCAATCGGTACCACCCCCACCCACCATCGCGCGGAGACATGGAGGGTTCTCCTCCTGGAGCTGTGATCCCCTTGTGTTACGTCGCACAGCTCGAGACGGGTCCAACCTCCGCTTCGGGGAGGCATCGTGGACCTCCTCGCTAGATGTGGCCCGCTGGCGGGTGAGCGGGTGTGGTGTCGCCTTTCCTTCCTCCACGAACTTGGACCGAGAGAGCAGATAGCATGGCAGGGATGCCCAGTCCAGAGCCGAAGCCGAGCGATCCCGCATGGACGCTCACAAGGTGCCTGAGCTCGTGCACACGTCTTCACGCCCCGCTCGCTCCCCCTCGTATGCCGAGCGTCCGATTATGCCTCGAGTCGCGAACTCCGTTCCGAGCTCCGGGCGTTGCCAAAGGTGCTCCCGGCCCGAGGTGCCACCAGCTCCCCTCGTCGGTTTGGGGCCCCAGTGGGGGCCCTCGCGCTGGGCCGGGTGAGAGTTGCTCCTGGAGGCCGTCTGGTCCTCGCTGGGGGAGCTCGGGGCCACCACGAGCCGTGGCTGCCTCAGGCAACACCCGACCAGCCTGCGGGGCCCGAGGGAAACGTAGGCTCAAAGAAAAGAGACACCGCCACTACCAGAGGACACCAGAGGGAGGAGCCAGGAAGGCGCTCGAGACAGCCCCTATACCCCAAAACTCCGGGAGGCTTCGTGCACCTCCTCGCTGGAGACGTGCGCGGTGGTGTCGCTTCTCCTGGACCCCGGAGCTCCCCCCAGACAAACTCTTCATCCCGAACTGCTCCTTGATGGTCCCGGGGCCCGGGAGCGGCCCCCGGAGCCATAACACAGCAGAACAGTAACTTTATGTCGGGCGTGTCCGCCTACAGGGGGATTTTCGACGAAAAATAAAAAATACCCCCCAAAATGCCCCAACATTATCAAAAATACTGAAAAAATGGTCCCCGGACTATTTTTGAACTATTTTTTGACTATTTTGGGGGTATCGTTTATTTTTCGTAGAAAATTCCCCTGTAGGGGGACACGCCCGACTTAACAGTAACTCCAGGGCCTGGTTCAGCAAGTACCGATGTCGCTGCTCCCCAGGCCTCTCCTAGGGTGCGCCCTGAGCAGCGTTTCCAGGCGACTCTGGCCGTGACGACGAGGGAAGGGCAGCAGCATTGGACTCTCCTCCACCTCTGAGTTGCCCTCTGGGCCCGCTCCCTTTGACAGGAGATGCTGTATGTCGACCCCCATCCCAGGCCTCGTGGGGTTTAGACTGGACCCGAAATTTTGGACCCAACCCTGGGATATACGAAGGGGGGCGTGCAGCCTCGATAGGGGTGCGTCCGAATAGCCCCCCCGGGGTGCAGCACGAGGTTTCCCCCTTTTTTTGAGCGGCCACATTTGTCTGGCCGAGCTCGGGGACTTGGGGAGAAAAATCGCCCGCGGCCCGTATTCTTGGCACCCGTTGCCGAGCGTCCGATGGCGCTTCCAGTCGCGAGCCTCGGGATCGCACTGACCCGGGTCAATCCAAACCCAGGTCAGTCAGGCTTTGCAGGATCCTGGAAGATTCTGCATTGCAGGATCCCACACCCAAGCCATTGTCTGTGCGCCCCTGGCTCTGCAGGATCTCAGGATCCTGCAAGATCCGGCGCGCTGACTGACCCCAGTTTGCAGTGACCCCCGTCTCTTGAGCCCCGATTCCAATAGCAAGCCTTGGGCGCGAATTACTGGGGGGGCGATGAATGGGGTAGGAAGAAAGGTGCCCTCTCGGGCCATAGCATGGCCCCTTTTGGGGCTCTACAGGGTCTTTTTAGGGGCCCTAAAGGGCTCCTTTTCGGCAACCCTCGCTACCCCTCCATGTATCGCCCCCCCATCCTTGAGATCCGACTGTGCGAAAAAAATGCAGCATCGAAGCGATTCACGACCAGAACACCAGACCCCATCTTTCTCCATCACCTGTCGAGGCAGATCGATCTGTGAGGGTCCCGGGGCCTGACACGGCGCGAACAAAACGTCCGTTGTGCAACAAAAAAATGCAACGCCAGGATCTCCAGGCTTACGCGCCCACCCACAAGAGCCCCGTTCCCGGCGCCCTCCGGTTCGCCGACCGCGGCGGACACCGCCGCTGCCGCGGTGTCCACCGTGGTGTCCACCGCGGTGTCCACCGCGGCCGCCTCCGCTGCCGCGGGCTGCGCGGCGGCGTCGCCTCTCGGCGCGGGAGGTGCGGGATGCGATGGTGGCGCCCTCCCGGCGGCACGCATTATTTTACGCCGCAGCGCGGCCTTAGTGACCCGCACGCGCGTCGGGGCGAGGCCGAGGCATCGCGGCAGCGCGGCTTCGCCCGCGTGCCAGGAAGGGGGGGAGGAGGAGAGGCGGCGGCAGAGGTGAGGGCAGGGCGCGGGGGCACGCTCGCGCAGAGGCTGCGGCGGGTGCGCGGACGCGGCTGGGCTGAAGGGTAGCCCCTGGCAGCAGCTGCGGGAGGCGTCATGAGTCATTCGGAAGCGAGCGAGGGAGTGAAGTGAGGAGGAGAAGGCCTTCTCAGAAGGCGGCGGGCCTTCTCAGAAGGCCCCAGGGCCTTCTGAGAGGTTCTCTGTGACAGGAGGAGGCTGGGGGACCTGCGAGCCTTCTGAGAAAGCCCGCCACTTCTCACTTCCCCCCCTCGCTCGCCGCCGAGCCGTGCAAGATCATCGGAGTGAGGGGGTGAGATCGCAGCGGGATCGATCGAGTGAGATCGATCGAGCGAGATCGACTGTGAGAACGATAGTGACATCGATCGAGTGACACGTGGGTTCACCCCCCCGAACCATCCCCAGCACCAGAAGGGTGGTCGTATAGGTCTAGGTATAGGTATAGGTATACGGTATAGGTATTAGGCGACAGCTGGTCTGGCAAGGCCCACCGAAGGCCACACGCAGGAGCGACCCCGGGGCAAGATCGACCCCTGGTGCGCGGCGCGCCAAACTTATGTCGCATCCTCGGGGGACCCTGTCTGTGCGATCGCGGCCCTGTCCGCGTCAAATCCATGTCGAATCCATGCTGGACTCGTCGGATCCGTGCCGAATCCGTGTCGAATCCGCGCCAGATCCACGCAAAATCTGCGTCGAGTCCGCATCAAGCCCGCGTCGGGCACAAGGACAGACACCAATTTGGGGGACAGGCGAGGTCCCCCGAATGATGCAACGCAAGCAGTCGCTTTGCGCGATGCTGCAGCAGCGGCCTGGGGGCACCCAGCGGTACGGATACGGCAGGCTCGTGCCGTGTCGACCACGGCTTTGGTTCCTGACACCGCGGGGATCGTTCCACCTTGAACGATCGGCCATCTCCGAAACGTCTGATCAGTCAACGTCGATCGATTCTGGGTCGCCGACGGCGATCAACCTTGAACTTTGGACGCCCGAAATGGTTACGGAAAGAATGGATACAATGCCCAACAGCAATTCGTGTTCATTCTGAGGCCTGTGTCCGTTCGAGACAGAGGGCCGCCCGCCCAACAGCGGCCGCTGTTGGTTTGGGGCAACATTTGTTGTTGGGCATTGTAACCATTCTTTCGTAACCCATTTCGGGCGTCCAAACGAACGCCAACGGCGGGGGGGGGCCGCCGGTCGACACGGCGCGCACCTGCCGCACGCGCTGCTCCCCGGACCTCTTCCGCGAGGTGCGCTCGGGCCAGGCCTTCGGGGCGCATCGCGCCGTGGCGACGGGGGGCCTCCCGAAGGGGCCCACGAGAAGGGGAGCACCGAGAGGGGCGCCTGGGCCTGGCCCCCCCGCCCCCGCGCCCAACGGGACCCCGCGCACCAAAGGTCGGGGATGGACAGACCCCCCTTTAGTAAAACGTGGTTTAGTGAAAACGACCTGAGGCCCAAACCTGGCGGGCGCAAGCCTGGAAAACAACGGCCACGGCGCCCTCTCGAGAACCGAAACTGGACAATTCACCAATCGACGTGTCACTGTTGGGGGTTCTGTCCACCCCCGGAAAGGCCACTGCCCTGGGATCCCGGCGCCTGCAGTTTTTTCTCACAGCGAGCGTGTTCGCCACGGTCCGGGCCCAGGGGCCAGCACAGATCGATGCGGCTCGAAAGGTGACGCGCAGCAGGGTGGGGTCCGGGGCACTGGTCGCGCACGTCTGCGATGTTGCAATGTCTTCGCAACGTCGGATCTCGGTGGCTGTGTCATGCCAGTGACCTGGCCATCGCTCGGACGTCCATTCCCTGTGTTTTGTTTGGTTTCGCGCGTGGTTTTTTCGCCAAATGATCAAGGATGCTCCTCGATGGTCCTCCCCGAAGGAGAAATGCACACGTCCGAGCGATGCCAGGTGACCTGAAGGGCGTCGCGTGCGGGATGAGTCTGCAGCCCGAGACTGCAAAATGCCAGCCCCGGACAGCCGTCAACACGCACGTCAGTGCAGGAGAGAGGGCGGTGGCGTAGTCCAAGATGGGGGCAAGCTGTGGCAGGATCTGCACAAGCGGCTGGTGGCCGTTGCTCCCTGTGCTACACAACACTGGACGGAACAATAGCCCACCTGATAATATGTCACAGGCACATGTCCCATCCGATGATATAGGATGCACAGCGTCCTGGCTGCGCTCTACGGTCGGGGCGTTGACCTAAGGAACCCTGAATAAAGAACGAGGCCCCTTTTTCCAAAAGGTAAACTTCGATTTCCCATGAACAACCTCAGGAAAACCCTAGGCAAACTGTAAAACAATCAAGGAATACCAAGCCCCTCCCCATCGAAAAGGGTTCCTTCTTCAGCGCCCCGACTGTACCTCCTATTTTGAATCACTTCTTACGTGACGAATCTTGGCTCAAGTCTCGCTGTTGTGGCACGAGCTATCCAAATTGAGCCTGTCGCTGGGGCGGTTAGGTATTGAGCTTGTCGCTGGGGCGGTCAATCACCACATTTTTTCATTACTCTTTCTTCTTTCTTTTACTCACTTCTTACACCACATTCCCAGTCATGCCAGCCCACACTCGCCAGCCGGGCACTCCTGTGCGTGAGGCTCTAGGCGGGACGTCCTCCGGTGCAGCGCCAGTCGTCGTGGCCCTCGACACCCCCGCCGACAAGCGGGCCCGCCTCAGGAGCCCACTTCAGGAGATGGACGGTGACTCGGACCGCGAGGTGAAGGATCAGCTCGCGAACCCCTTCCGGCAGCCAGACTTCTCGGGTGCCGACGCCGCTGCCGTGGACACGGAGCCCGTGACGATGGGCGGCATTGCAGCCCTCCTGAAGCAGCAGCTGGCCCCCATGACCTCCATCGTGGACGCTCTGCGGAGGGACTTCGGGAAGCTGGACATCAAGGTCACGTCCTTGAGCGAGACTCTGACCAGCCGCCTGGAGAACATCGAGGCTAGCGTTATCGATGCCGATCTGCGCATTGACAAGATGGAGGAGATGCTGAAGACAATGCCCATGACCAGCGAGGAGATAGGTAAGCTCGTCGACGATCGCATCAAGATGGCTATGGCGAGCAATGACCCCCCCCACGGCTCCACTCTCTCCTCAGACCAGCCCGCCAACAAGCGCTTCGTTACAATGGTGGTGGGGAATTTAGACGGCGTTGGCGACTTGTCGACGGCCGCCGAGTGGTTACAGGAGAAGTTGAAGACACTCTCAGCCCCTCCCCCAGCGAAAATCTATTCCAAAGGGACCTTCACAGGAATCGCTTTCGTGGAGTTCTCCAACATGAACTCGCGGGACAAAGCTGTTGAGCTTCTCCGCACCGCGGGCTACACCTCAGAGGACAAGAAGGTCTGGGCCTCCCAGGACCGTTCGGCAACGGACCGTGCTGCCCGGAACTACTGCCTCGGGCTCAAGCGCCTTTTGAAGGACGAGTGGCAGATCGGCTACACTATCTCTGTCAGCGAGGAGGCGCCGTACGTGGTGACCGTGGGAGGCGAGCACGCGCTGACAGCGAAGATTGTCGACCACAGCGTGGCCTATCAATGGCAAGGCGAATGGTCTACTTGGGCGGAGCTCCACAATCACCCGGAGATGAAGGAGTTGGCGAAGAAGGCGGACGACCTTGTGGCTCGGGCTGCCCAGGGCCTGAAGGGGAGGGCAAAAGGAGGGGCCAAGGGGAGCGGCCCACATCATTGACAGACGCATTTGATCAGTGACGTTTCACCCGCAGTCGGCAATACTGCACTTATGAACGATCGTTTGAGAATTCATCCGCAAAGCCTGCACGCACGGAGTACCAGTACAAGTATAAGTTCCACAACAAGGAGTAGAAGAGGGGATGTGCTACATGAAGAGGGGGTTCCTGATTTCCGAGGCGGGCGGCTACGTCCATGCACTGATGGTGTCGCCGTGGGCTCTTGGAACGTCGAGGGGCTGACAGAAGCGAAGCTGGAGGAGCTACAAATTCTTATGCGGAGTCGGGCCATCGATGTATTGGCGCTCCAGGAGACGCACAAGAGCGAGTCAACGTATACTGTCACTAACCGGGGTTACCTATTGGTGCTATCGGGGGACCACGAAGACCAAGATACAGCTGGAGTGGGTTTCTTATTTTCTCCACGTATTCGTGAGAGTATTTTTGGGTTCCGTATGATATCTTCCAGGGTCGCTGTCGCGAAGATCAGGGTTCCAGGAGGTAAAATCCCAATGTTCGGTGTATACGCGCCCCATAGCGGAAAGCCAGTGACAGACAGACGTGACTGTTACAATTCTTTGGACGTGATTGTTCGTAACACGTCCGGCCATGGAGGCAAGTTATTGCTGGGGGACTTCAACGCGAGACTTCACAAACGTTTCCCTTCCGAGGAGGAGCGTCTAGGCCCGTATATTTTCGGCAACCCCGGAGCGGAGTTCAACCCGGACTCGAACAGGAGCTTCTTGCTGGAATTTTGTGTGTCTCGCGATTTGGTGGTCAGCAACACGTTCTTCGACCACGTGCCGGAAGAGCAAATCACATGCTACAATGTGGGGTCCCGGCCATCAGATCCAGCCACACCGGAGCACTTTGGGCAGATTGACTTCTTCTTGTGCTCACGCCAACTGCAAGAACACGTTTGCGATGTCTATTCTGTGAGGGGCGCCTCTCTGGCATCCCACCACTTTCTCTTGCAGTGCCACGTGCGCCTGAACATCCAGAGAACTGCCCGGCAGCACGCGGCCTGGCTGGATATCTCAGCGCTGTCGCATGGCCCACTTGTGTCGCCATTCCAGCGTGCTTTCGTGGATTACATGGGGGACCGGGACCC